GCAAAGCTAACTCCTCTCTACTAGATCGATTCCTCCAGCAAACACACACACTCTGTGGCTCCCATTAAAACCAACAAAACGGAACTCCCGGATGAACCTCCTCTTTCCAGATGTGGCCCCATTTCCTTCCTTCTCTTCACAAGCAAGCTTTACAACAGAGCTGTCTGTGTTCACTGCCTCCACTTCCTCGCCCTGCCCTTCTCTCCTCAACCCACTCCTACCTGGCTTCTGACCTCACCACTCTGCTGAAACTGCCCGCCAAGGCTAAGAACCAGCCCCGTGGCACCCCACCCAGTGCTCACACCCGTCTTCCTCTTGCTTAACCTCACACCGCCTTCAACACAGCTGATGGCTCCCTCCTTGAAACACTTTCTTCTTTTGGCTTTTAGTTTAAGCCACATGAATTCATCTTCTATTGCTGCAGTAACAAATTATCACAAACTCAGGGTCTTAAAAACAACACAAATTTATTATTTTGCAGTTCTGTAGGTCAGAAGTCTGACATGGGTCTCACAAGCTAAAATCAAGGTGTTGGCAGCCTTGTGTTCCCTTCTGGAGGTTCTAGGGGAGAATCTGCTTCCCTGCTTATTTGGGTTGTTGGCAGAATTCAGTCCTTGCGGTTGTAAGACTGAGGTCCTATATCTTTGCTGTCAGCTGAGGGCCATTCCCAGAGTCTGGAGGCCATCATCTTCCTTGGCTCCTCCACCCTCAAAACCTGCAATGGTGGGTCAAGTCCCTCCTATTTCAAATCTCTTCTGCCTCTTCATCACATCTCTCTGACCCCTTCTTCTACCTTCTTTTTCCTTTTTTTAAAAAATATGTTTTTATTGATTTGAGAGAGAGAGAAAGGAAGAGGGAGAGACAGAAACATCAGTGTGAGAGGAACATAGATCGGCTGCCTCCTGCATGCCCCCACTGGGGATCAAGCCCGAAACCCAGGCTTGTGCCCTGACTGGGAATCGAACTGGTGACCTCTTGGTGCACGAGTCGACGCCCAATCCACTGAGCCACACTGGCTAGGTTACCTTCCTTTTTCATTTTTAAATACTCTGGTGGTAAGATTGGACCCACCCAGATAATCCCCAGAAGAGTCTCTCCATCTCGAGGTCTTTAACCTTAATTGCATCTGCAAAGTCCTTTTTGCCATGCCTAGTAATGTATTTATAGGCTCCGTGGATTAGGGTGTGGACATTTGGGGTCCACTGTTGGGCCAGCCACACTGCTCTCCCCACTCTCCTGTGCTTCACCGGCACTTCCTTCTCAGTCCGCTCTCCTGGCTTTTCAACCTCTCAGTTGTAGAAACCTGAGCCTCAGCCCTCAGCCCTCCTCCTTATCTCCTACACTCTGTCCCATCCACTCTTGAGATGCTCCATCTGCAAGCGGATGCTCCTAAATTTTTATTTTCAGCCCTAAATTCACTCCATTTTTTTTTTTTTTAAATGCTTCATTGATTTCAGAAGGAGGAAGAGAGAGAGATAGAAACGTCAATGATGAGAGAGAGTCATTGACCGGCTGCCTCCTGCAGGCCCCCAACTGAGGATCAAGCCCACAACCTGGGCATGTGCCCTGACCGGGAATCGAACCGTGATCTCCTGGATCCTAGGTTGATGCTCAACTGCTGGGCTACTCCAGCAGGGCCCTAAATTCACACTTGAGTTCAAGACTCATCTATCTGACTTGACATTTCCACTTGAATGTGTGACTGCCAATCAATGAGCCAATTATTGGCTTGCTCTCTACCCACTCGTCTCTACCCTCTCTGCTGCCAGCCCCACGCAGGCCTCCACCACCAGCCATTTGGGCCACTGAAGTTGCCTCCCGGCTGATGCCCAGCCTTCACTCTTACCTCTAACCCATTCTCTACCCCGCGGCAGAGCAAGCTTTAAAGATACAGCCAGACCAAGTCATGTCCCTGCTTAAAATCAGCCAAAGTCTTCTCAATAAAGTTATAATAAAATCTGTTGCCGAAAACCTGGCTACTCAAAGTGTGGTCCATGGACCAACAGCATTGGCCTAACCTGGGAGCGTGTCAGGAATGCAGAATCTCAAGCCCCACCTCGGACCCTCGGAATCTTGAGTCTGTACTTAAACAAGATCCCCAGATGGTATGTAGGCATATTAGATTTTGAGACCTGCATGATCTGGTCCCTACATTTCTTTACTTCTGTCTCCTCTCAACCTCCCCCTTGCTAACTTTCTTTGAGCCACACAGGTCTCTCTGTTTCTCACATTAGTCTGGTCACCACTACCTCAGGGCCTTTGCACTGGCTGCTTTCTTTTCTTGGAACACCCTTTTACTGATTCTTAGCCAGTTTCTCCTTATCATATCAATGTCACCTCCTCAGACAGGCCTTCTGTGACATCCTATTGAAAGTCATTTTCTCCCTCGCTCCCTCAGCATTCACCCTCTATTTACCCTGTTTGATTTCTTTCACTCCCCTTTTTCTCCGTCTGTAATGATCATGTTTATTTCTTTGTTTTCTTGTTAAATATCTTCCTTCTCTCCCCCTCCCCTGTCCCATGAAGGTATGAAAAATGAAGACAGGGGCCCTCGTCTGTCCTGTGAACTCCTGTTACCTGGAGCCAAAAAAGTGCCCACCCAAGAAATATTTTTGGAATGAATTAGTAACAAAGACCACCCATCCCTCTCTCCCACTCCCTCTGTCCCCCCATTTCTGCTGTCTGTCCTGTTACAACCCTGGCCTGAGGAAAGATCAGCCTGGCTGAGCGCAGGGTTCTTGGAATCCTCTAGGTCCCCAGGAATAGCTCTTGCCCATAACCGGTTAAGAAACGGTAACAACTTTGAGAATGCCTGACTAAGTCTAAACAGTAATTACACTTCAATGGTAGCACTTACATAACACTATTTGCCAAGCACTGTTCTGAGCATTTTACCCATCTTGAATAACTCACTTATTTCTCCGCTATTCCTTAGAGTAGTTGTTTCCATTTTACAAATGCAGAAAACAGGGCACAGAGAGATTAACAAGTGTGCTCAACATTTCACAATGAGGATGTAGAGGCGACAACCTCTCCAGGCCCAGATGCGAGGGGCTTCTGCCCGGGGATCACAGGCTGTAGAAGGCTCTGCTCTGGATGTGTCCTTCCCCCAGGGCGAAGATCACGCCTGGGTACCTGGGACTCTGGAATTCCCAGGCCAGTGGCCATGAGTCTGCTTCCAGGCCCTCTTCCCTGGGGTCATCTTCCTGAAGGTAGACAGGACCCCTGAGTGGCCCCAGTGGTGGCCAAGTGGCAGCTTTTAGCCAAAGGCATGGGCAGAGCTTGACTATGCAGGCCTAGTGTCCATACACATGTGGAAAGGCCTCTCCAGGGATACCAGACAGCAGGACCTGAGAAGGGGTGGCCACTTTCCCTACACCTCCTCATTCAGACACAGAGCTCTGCTGAGCCCACAAATTCTAGCTCCACACCTGGCCTCCCGGGTCATCGTGAAGGTTTATGTGTCAAGATAGGAAGAAAGAACATGTTTTGCTTAACAGTTTGTTAGCTTCATCGCTACCTTTAAAATATTGTAAAAATTTAAACATATGGTCTATGGCCTCCATTTGTCTTCTTGCCTTGGCCCCACAAATGTTGGGGCTGGGGCTGGGGACCCAGGCACTTGCTCGGGGCTTACTTCCCAAGCTGGGAGTGTGCCATCTCTGTGCTGAGTCATGCCGGCTCCAGAGAGCCCGACCCTCTGCTCCCAGGGAGGCCCTGTGAGGTGGCTGTCCAGTACTGTCCTCTGTTTGCTCTTCAAATATTGGTCATTTCCACTGCTCCCAGCAAACTCTGTGATGCTCTCTCCCAAGTGCCCCACGAGGCTAAGGGCTGAGGGAGGCCTGCTCCGGCTGGTGTCCCGGTGCTGCATGTGCCTTGGGTTCAAATCCCAACTCCACCACTTATTTGCTATGTGACCTTAGGCAAATGATGCGTCCTCTCTGAGACTTCTGTGTTCCAGCTCCAAGGATTAAGTGGAAAGTCTACACACTCAGTGATGCTGCTACAATGCCCCATGGCTCAGCTGCCTCTGGGAAGCTGCCTAAGGCTGATCCCAAAGCACAGAGCTGGCAGGAACCAAAATAAAGAGCAACAGAGACCCCTAAAGATAAGTCCTGGGACCCAGGCACAGCAGAACTGGAGGAATGTGGTCCAGGTTGTCCCTGCTGGGGGACTCTGTGGGCTGTGGGGAGCGAGTGCCATCCTGGTTCCTGGAGCATGGTGGGCGAAGCCTCCACCTTAAAATTCTCCACTATCCTCTGAAATTCTTCTTCCTGTGAGCTGTGTCTGTCTGTGGCCTTCCCCTTTGCTAATAATGATTGCACCACACACACAAATCCATAGATATGCAAATCGTTTTAGGTAAGTAATTCTTGGTGGCTAAACATAGACCATCATTTAATAAGAGTTTAATATCCTTATTGAGAAACGAAGGCTGCCTATCAACTCATTATGAATCCCTAAGTGTGTTTGGAACAAAAAGTGTGGTTTCGAGTTTCCTGACATGCATCCTTCAAGTGGGAAGCCATGTGCATATAATGTATTTTTAAAGGATACTCTTGTTCAAAACAAAAACATAAGAATATTTTATATCTGTTTGCAAACAATGCCAGTATCATGATACCAGAATACATTTTAATAGGTATTAGAGTTATAGAGCCAAGAGCAACTGTGGCCTTCAGAGTATAGGTCTATACCTACCATCAAATGCACATCTTTAATCTTTTTTTTTAACATGCAAAAGTGTTAAACTATTTTAATTATGTTAAATGCACCACTTAAATTGGGCATGACAGCAATACCTTTTAATTACTTTTAGTTGAATTCTTACTTGAACTAAAATGTATTTAGGTTGAAAATCTGGGACCCAAATTTAGCTTTTGCAGACAGTCATACTGGAATAGTTTTGAAGTTGTAAGAGGAAGGAAACTATAGTTCTATCTAAATGTACAATATTAGTTTTTATTATTAAGGTAATGCTTCTACATAGCAAAAAAGGCTTTTAATTAAAAACACACACACAGCTTAGTCTTCAGCTCCCTTCCTCTCCTCCCATGACCCAGAGGCCCCTATTGTTAATCATTTCATTTTCACACCTTTACCTCTGTACTCAGAAAAATATGCTATCTCTTACGTCATTAGTTTTATCCTTTAGCTGTTGACTTCTTGTACTCTTCTGGGTTCTGCAGAAAAACAGAACCTATGAAATGTGTGTGTGGAGAGAGAGAGACAGAGATTTGGAGGAACTGGCTTGTGGAACTGGAGGGGCTGGTGAGTATAGAGTCTGCAGAGGGGTGGATGTTGCGGCTGGAGTCCAAAGCCGTCCAGAGGCAGAATTCCCCTTCCTGTGGGACCTCGGTCTTTTTTGTCATCTTAAGACCTTCACCTGATTGATCGAGGACCAACACATTATAAATGGTAATCTGCTTTACTGAAAACCTGATTTAAATGTCAGTCTCGTCTAAAAATATACCTTCATAGAAACACCTAGACTGGTGTCCGATCGAATATCTGGGCGCTGGGGCCTAGCCAAGTGGACACATACAATTAACCATTACATTTCCTAAGATGGTAGATGCACATTAGCTCTCTGAAACCTCCCTTCTCTTCTGGCATCTTCTCAATATACTGATATCATAATATTCAATATTTAAATTATTATAGCTATATTGTTCATAGCTGAGCCAAGAAGTGACCATAATTGTTCCTTGCTCATATAATGCTTGGGTTTTCCTCATTTTTTTATTACTCACTAGTCTCTGAACCTATGACTAAGTCTTTCCTCACCCTCCAATAGCTTCCCAATGAAAAGTTTCATGTTGTTTAGAACATCCGGTTATTTATTCCTCTCCCTTCCTCCCTCCCGCCTGGGGACCTTCCTTCTGGAGCCCTTTGTCCCCCTGTTCCAATCCGAGCTCGTAGCTCTCCAGGTATGCAGGACAGCTGTCATCCTGGGGCTGCCGTTCCCAGTCATTCTGGGAGTTTCCTGAAGTCTTCCTGGGGAGATCCCCCGTTTCCAGTCTTTATCTTTCATGGCTATGCCTTCTGAGAAAGGATGCTTGAGAAGTAATGACTTTGCGTTTCCAAAAATGTCCATATCGTACATTAACACTTGACTCCACAGAGCATAGACTTTTAAATGAAAATAATTTTCATTCAGTCTTTGAAAATTCTGCTGTATTTTCTTAAGGCCTCCAATGTTTCTGTTCAGGAGAGTGATGATAGTTTTATTCCTAATCCTTTACATGCCATTTTTTATTTTTCTCTTCAGAAACTTTTAGAATTGTTCCTTTACTTGTGACGTACTGATGATTCTGAATGCTATGCCTCAGTGGGGGTTATTTCTGGTTATGGGCACCCCTGGACCATTTCAACTGGAAACTCACATGTGCACTTTCTGGAATTTTTTCTTATGTAATTTCCTCCTGTTTTCTCTGTTCTTGTTAGTTGTCCAATTAATGAGATGTTGGGTTTCCTACTTTGGTCTTCTAATTTTATGTTTCTCTCCTATTTTTATCTACCTTTCGTTTTGTTTTCTAGAAGGTTTCCTCCACTTTATCTTCTAACCTTCTATTGAATTTTAAATTATGGCTGCCATACTTTTAATTTTCAAGAGCTTTATCTCATTCTGACTCATTACTCTTATAGAGCATCCTGTTCCTATTTTATGGATGCAATATTTGCTTCAGCTGAGGATTTTAATTCTAGTTTTTGCTTTTTGTGGTATTTTCTTCTGTGCCATGCATTGATGTTTCACCAGAATTCCTTTTGTTTTTTTTCTTCTTGGTGTGGTCTTTTTCATATTGGTGGCTTCCCCAAAATGCCTGGAGATGGTTGGTATTTGTTCATGTATAGGTCAAGCAACAGGGGCAGTGGATCCCGAGGAAGTAGAAGAGGAGCATCTCGGGCCTCAGGAGCTCATGGAGCCCGCGAGGTGGGCACCTCAACCTGTCTTCTTCTCATTCCCGCAGAAGCCTCTGCTGGGCACTGATAAGGACGGGCAGAGCCTGGGGAGAGGAGGGGAACTCTAACAATGCTGAGTTTGCCACCCCAGAATAAAGTCCCTCTTATCCCACCTCCCATTTTAATGGCTTGGCCAGGGCACAACAACTTGGATGTTCCCTCTAGACCAAGAATCATTGAATTCAGTGGCCAAGGTCTGACAGACACCTGAACAGCTCTCAGTTATCTGCTGGCAGAACAGGGAGGCATTTCTCTTGCTGTGGATCTATCAACAGCACGGGGTAAGGGTGTGGGGGGAAGAAGCCCCAACTCAGGTGAGGTGGTTATCACCCATGCCTTGCAGTCCCCCAGACTCATTTTTTGACCTCTTTTAGTTGGCTTGGTCCAGACACTGTGGGTTCTGGTGGAGGACCACCCTCCAGGGAGGCCTGGATCTGGTTTCCTAGTGACCCCGGTGAAGTACTGTCTCAAAATGATGAGGTCCCAGCTGGTGTGGCTCAGTGGTTGAGCATTGCCCTATGCACTGAGAGGTCACTGTTTGATTCCCAGTCAGGGCACATGTCCAGGTTGCAGGCTCGATCCCCAGTAGTGAGTATCCAGAAGGCAGCAGATTGATGATGTTTCTCATCGAGGTTTCTCTCTCTCTCTCTAAGTCAATAAAAACATATTTTTAAAAAAATAACAGAGAGGCTCTGTGAGCACTGTATCCGTCAGTCGTTCAGGGGCCCATCGACCTCGCTCCACCTGCATACTCCAGGCAATGATGGCCCACCTGGAGCGGTGTGCTTTACCTGCTATTTCAGTGGCTGTACAGGGTGGGTGGGGTG